GACCGGCTGGTGCAGCCAGGGCTGCCAGGCCATCGTGGACACTGGAACGTACCTGCTGACCGTGCCCCAGACGTACCTCGACAGCTTCCTTCAGGCCATGGGTGCCCAGCAGACCAGCTACGGCGTAAGTGCGGGGGATGCTTTGGAGGTGCAGGCGGTGTGGAGGCTCATGAGTGAGCCAGAAGCCGTGGACTTGGCCAGGTCCCACAAAACGCGTGGCACCCACAGAACGTGGTACTGCAGGCGCATCAGGGAGGGACGTGGCACTGGCAGGGGATAAAGTGTTCATTACCCCCATATATGGGGGTATTTCTCCTCTCACAGTTGGTGCTGTTCCTGCCATAACCTCTTCTTCACCCTCTCTCCACAGTATGCAGTTGACTGCAGTACGGTCGAGAGCCTGCCCACCATCACCTTCGTCATCAACGGAACTGAGCTCCCTCTCGGCCCCTCTGCCTACGTCATGAACGTACGTATGAGCTGAGCAGCTTCACCCTCCTGAGTCCCTGAGGGGCAGGAAAGGACCTCTTGACAAATGTGTCGGCAGATGCCACCTCCCTGCAGCCCAGCTGGCAGCGTCCTGGTGCTCGTTTGAGACTTTGACTCCCTGTTATTGTACCCTTTACAGAGCAACGGCTACTGCACTCTTGGGATTGAGGTCACCTACCTGCCTTCCCAGAATGGGCAGCCACTCTGGATCTTGGGTGATGTCTTCCTCAAGGAGTATTACACCGTCTTTGACATGGCTAACAACCGCATCGGCTTCGCCACGTCAGCATAGAGGAGCAGCAAAATCCAGCCCCTTTCCTGGCCAAACACACCTTAGCCAGTGTTGCTGGGGTTCCCACGCACCTTTATGTCCCTTTATCCGCCTGCACGGCTCCCTGTCCCTGCAGGATTCTCACAGTCTCCTGTTACAAATAAACCCCAGCATCCCAAATCGTCTCTGACCTTCTGAGTTTGTTGAGTGACGAGTGAGCACAGATTGGTGGGTTGTGTGTCTCAGACACTCTTTCTCCAGCAAGGCAAGCGTCATGATAAACTCCTAGGCAGAGTTCTGTGGAGTCAGCACGGGGGAAGCGAGGGAGAATCCGTCCCTGGGCTGCTTCAAATCTGAAGTTGACGTATTTCTGCTTCTTGCAAAGGAGTACGACATGCTGGGGGACTGAGTCTATTCTGGGTGAATTACTGAGCTCTAATGAAAGCAGCATCACTCACAGCCCGACGGGTGCAGGGATCAGGAACCCAAAAAGTCACTGGGGTTGGTCTTAAACACCAACCACATCCCCGGGGACAGAAGTTCCACGAAGGATTCTCCAAAAAGCCAGTTCTGCTCTGTGCCATCAGGCACTGCTTGTGTGTCTGGAGCGGCTGTGAAAATCCCTAACGCAGTGACACGACCTCATCCTCCTCCAGCCAGTGCTCATCAGCACCTACTTGGGAAAATACAAGAGTTAGCTGGTGGCGGTGGATGTTGCTTTGCTTGCAGATTGTGGTGACCTCAGAGTGACCGCAGGGACACGCTGCCCTGTCCTTGCTGCTGCTGGCACTTGCGAAGCTGAACCCATCGCTCCGACCAGCCAAGGATAAAGCAGCGGGGCCATGGGGTCCCCACCTCTGCCCCTCCTGCTGGGCATCAGGAAATCTCCTCAGAGCTGCACGTGGGAAGTTGCTAACCTGCCTTGTAGCTGGATAAGGTGTGACCGAGTCCCGTGATTAAGTCAAAGTCGGAATATGAGGGCTGATTAGGTCTGGCGTGACGTCCAAATGACCCCTAAATCCCAAAGTGGGGCTACTCAGTCAGATAAACCAACGGCCGGAGTATTGGGAATTGTGGTTTGTGGCCAAAGCGGACGGGAAACACCTTGGCTGGGGGAGGCTTGGGTAACACCCGTCTTTCCAGGGAACCAAATTCATTTCTTAGAAACTCTTAATGGTTGGAGCTCATTATCAGATGTATTAATAGCTCTGTCATTTCACAGGGAAAGGGACACAAACTCCTCTGTGCTTTGTGTCAAAATATTGACACAGGCTGAGTGCAGACAGAGATTAGAGAGGCGCAGGCAGCAGGGAAGGGCATTTCTCCTCCCCTCCTGGTTCTGCTCTTCCCTCTGTTCCCGGCAGGATCTCTCTGAGCGAAAGCAGATCACTCAGGATACGATGGAGGAGGGGAGGGTTTCCTGACCTGCTGCAGTCTCGAAGCCCCGTTCCAACACTGGCAGCTCAAAGGGGAGAAGCAAAGACTCTGCTGGGATCCATCCCAGTGCTTAGCGGGCACTGGGAGCCTGCGAGTGCCCCACAGCGAAGAGCAGTGGGGCTGCTCCTGCCTGGAGGAGTGTGCTGGTTGGTGACCCACGTGAGGTCAATTTACACCCAAAGATTTCTGTCCCAGTGAAATGGGGGCAGAACCACAGTGTGGGGAGGGTGCTCGAACCTGTACTTGTTGGCGCCCGTGGTCGAGGTGGTGCTGGCCCAGGCAGAGGGGTCTGAACAGCTGCAGGCTCCAGCTGGGGCTGTTTTCCTGAGAGCTTTGCACAGAAAACCTCCCACGTTTGTCTCTTCAGGTTTTCTGTGGGACATGAGGCCACTGGACGGTGCAGATCAGGGTGATTGGGACGTGAGGTCAGTCACCAGTCCCTGGCAGCGGGTGGCAGAATTTCTGCAGGCGGTGAGTGTCTGGGCTTCAGAGTATGAGGCTGAACAGCATCCTTGGGGAAGCAGATGGGCCAGGACAGGTCCTCAGTGACCTCAGTGTCCTCCCAGGACAAGAAAGGGTCTCTCGGGACTAAAACTCCCCTGTGAGTGCCTAAAAGCATCTTTCCAGCATCACCCAAAGCACACAGCAGACGTCACCTTGAACGCACCCAACGTGTGACCTGATCACCCTCAGAGTGACTCTGAGGGGGATAATAAACTGCAGCAAATCAAAGTGTCTTTTGGAGACGGGTGAGTGGTTGTAACTGGGCAGGTAAAGGCGTGTTATGTCTTTCAGGGCTGCTCTACCGAGTAGTTTCCAGCCCCCATCTCGGCTTCTTTGGGGGTATTAGCGGAGCTGGAGGGCAGAAGGGGCAGGATGGCAAAAGGACAAGTACCTGGAAGGAGACACATTTGGGGGGCATGTGCTGGTTCCTGGGAGGTTTGGAGCTGAGCTGAAAAACCAGCCCTGCCATTTCCTGCTGCCTGCGTTGAGGAAATTGGACGTAATGCTCGGAGGGAAGAAATTGTGCTGGCCCGTGGCACTTCCTTGACTGCCCTGATGGGTCAAAAGACAAACACCAGTATCACAATTTCCATTTGCTATAAGGGGTGTGTTTTGCCTTTGTTTTCTGGAAAGATCGATCTGGTGCTGAAGGCAAGAGAAAACGCATTAACAATTCTTGATAACGACGGCATTTTTATCAGACTTCACATATTTGGTCTCTGTATCAGAGGCGCTGGCCAATCCGTCAGTGCCTCAACAGTTGGGTCAGGAGGCAAAATCAGGGCGGCTGCGGCGATAAACTCACCTCAAGCGTCGGTGTTGGGGCGGTGCAGTGATAGAGGATAGGGGTGTCTGGAGCAAAGGGCTGGGCACAGCTCCTGCCTATATACGCCCTGCCCTGGGCCAGGCAGTGCAAGAGCTGCCATGGAGCCACCAGCAGCTGGGGCCATGAGGTGGCTGGTGCTGGGCCTGCTCTGCTTCCACCTCGGGGAGGGGGTAGTGAGGTGAGCCCCAGGGTGAGGATGGGTGCAGGGTCTGGCGTCGGAGCGGGGTTTGCCCTCAGCACGTTGGTGTGCACAGAGCCGCCCGGCGTCTCACTGCCATCTGCCCCCCATGCAGGATCCCCCTGAAGAAAAGCAGATTCCTAGGGGAGGTGATGGGAGAGAAGGTGGTGCCAGAGAGTTTCCTGAAGAATCTCAGAGGAGACCCCGGTAGGAGATACCAGCCCAGCAATGCTGTGGCTTATGAGCCGCTAATGAACTACCTCGACGTAAGTATTAAGAGTTTTTCCTTCTTTCCCTGAGCCACCCAGCTCTGGTTTTTGGGGATGCTCTCATCCTTTCCCAGCTGCCTTCCGGAAGCTCTGCAGGGGGTGGCTCTTCTCCATCCCTAGGCACAAGGCGAGGGGCTGTGCTGGCAGGGGCAGGAGCTTTGCTGTCTTTGTAGCCTGGCTCCAAGGGCTGGGTGATGTTGGGAGACGTCTTATCGTGAACTGATTTCCCTGCTCTGAAAAAGCAGAGTTTGGTGGTTATTAAAGGCCAAATCTACTACTCCTGGTCTTGCTGCTGACTTTGTTATGTTGTAGGCAAATCATTGCCCTTTTCTGTGCTTTAACTGCCCTGGAGGTACTCAAGGACTACAAGCCCTTACCAGTTTGGGTTTCTCAGCTGACAGGGGGGCAGAGAGCTGAAAACACTCAAAAAACCAGCCCGAAACCAAAATGCACCCATGCTCTTGTTCACAGTCCTTCTACTTCGGGGAGATCAGCATCGGGACCCCCCCGCAAAATTTCCTGGTGCTCTTCGACACCGGCTCTGCCAACCTGTGGGTGCCCTCCATCTACTGCCAGACTGCAGCCTGCGGTGAGCATCCTTTGGGGCACACGGTCCCCACCCACCACCGCTCTCCAACATCCCTTGCACACTACAGGCTGGAGCCGTGACATGGAAATCAGTGAGAGCTGGTGGGGTTTGGGGTTTGCTCGGTGACACCGGCGCGGCTGGTTTTGCACAGCCCCTTCCCTGTGAGGTCCCTTCCTTGGGGATTTCTGCCCAGGGCAGGGGAACAGGGATGCTGAGCCAAGGGCAGGGTGAGACCTGGGGGCTGTGACCTTCTCTCCTTGCAGAGAATCATGCCAGGTTCAACTACAACCTGTCGTCCACCTTCTCGGGCACCAATGTGACCTACACCCTGAACTACGGGTTTGGTGACGTGTCGGTGGCGTTAGGGTACGACACTGTGACAGTAAGTGACTTCTGACGCGTTGCTGCAATCAGGGTAAGAAGTGGCCGACTGATCAGTCCAATTAAGTTAAAAATTAGAAAGTACTTTTTTCTGTTGGATATTAATGACTGAATCTACCATGTAGAGTTTTTAGCATGTCAGCATAAATTTACTCAGAGACTGGGAGCCCTCCGGGATTTTCATCACTGTTTTGGGCTAAGGGCTATCTTTGGCCACAAGTGTCTGCTTTTTACACCGATGGCTGAGCTTTTTCATTACAGAGCATAAGGAAAGTTCTGTTGTGAGACTTGCACACAGTGTAAGTATGGTTTTAAACTGCTTTGAGTGAGGTGAACAGTTTTTGTGGGTATTTTAATGAAATAATAAAGGCGATGGGACAAAGACTATGAGCCAGGCTGCTCCCGATTCCATCTCCTATCTGCATTGGGGAAGAACTCAGCACCTCTCCATGCAGATTTACCCTTCT